TATTATATATATATATAATATAAACTTATATATATATAAAGAAATATATACATACAAATTTTAAACTTTTATTGTATTTTTTACTTTCACTTTTAAATAAATATATTTTAGAATACATTTTGTTTTCTTTCTTTTCCTCCAAATGTTCATATACTTTTGTTACACATTATTTTACAATTCTTATTAAGTTTAATTAGGTATTTTGTATCATATAATTAATGTCATTTTAATATTGTGATTAATATTAAATAATAGAAATATAAAATATATTTAATATAACATATAATAATATATATATGTATATAAACTTTTTAAGCTGATTTTGTGATATATATATAATTATTACGAATATCAAAATTAATGTTTATTTCTGTTATAGGGAACTGAAAGAGCACCTGGCATGCGAATTGTTAGAACTATTCAAACAATACAACCAAACGATCCTTCGGATGGACTTACGATTAATAATCAAAGCAGTGATAAAGTTTCAACGATTAGACAAATTAATCCACAATGCGGCACTAGAAGAGTTGTAATACCAAAATCCATTCAACCGTCTAATTCTCAAAAAATTGCAACGTCTATACAAAAGACTGTCTCAAATTTACAAAAGGGACAAGGTTCTGGAACGAATATACTTCAAAAACTTGTACAAAATCAATCTGGTATTTCAAGGAAATCACCAATTGGACAAAAAATGGGTAATATCGATAGAAGCATCGCTCCAAAAGTTGTAGTAAACGCTCAAAATAATCAAAGAATTGTGCTTCAAAAAGTTATGGTATCGCCCAAAAAAATAATGCCAGAAATTAAAACAAATACTGTTAAATTAGAAAATTTAGCAGCCAGTACTTCAGTGGCACAAATTAGACGTATGTGTCAAGGAATTGGAACAATAGAGGTGACTATTTTTGCATGTAATTTATAGCAAATATATCATCTCCTAGAGTAATATGCTCTAGATTATAATTATAGTTTATATTTCATTCATTCATTTACAATTATTCATTTTTGTTATTAATTTGTTTTCAAAATATTGTTGAAAGATTGAAATTCTATAATTTACAAAGAGTACAAAATAATAATTTTAAGTACAATTAACATTTGTATCTTTTATTTTTAATTTATAATTTCATTGTAATAAGAACAAGAGACTGTTCAGAAAGACTGTGTAGGCTTTACATTTGAACGCAAGATAATTTGTGTAAACACTGTAATGATATTAACATTATGTAATGAATTATATATTACTTCATATACACTACGATTATATATATATATATGATTATTTTTTTCTTTATTATTTTTTTATTTTTATATTCAATTATAAAACAAAACATTTGTAAATGTCATAAAAGTATTTGATTTTTGTTTAAAAAAAAAACCTTGTAAAAATTGAAAACCTTATAATTTCATGATTTTTATTTATTATAAACTCATCCCTGTTTCTTTTGTTTTTTTTTCTTTTTTGTTTAAATAAATATAATTAAGCGAATATTATATAATAATTGTCTTTTTTATTATTCGTGTTGTAGAGTATACACATGGGCGAGGGTAATGCAACTATTGTATTTAAAACACAATCCGCTGCCATGGTGTTTCATAAAAAATATCAACGTAAAATGCTCGATCTATCGCTGATAACCGTTCGTCTTATGCCACAAACAAATATAAACAAAGCAACAACTGCAATTGGCAAAAAGTCTTAAAGAAGATGACAAAGAAGAGATACTCTCTAAATGGAGTATACTTTTTAGCTTATAGCATAATAAATATATTACATTTAATATTAATACAATTATACCTTCATAAATCTATTGTCAATATTTATTATACTCGCATTGCCATTTTAAGGCAAAGATATGTATAAACATTTGATATATATATTCAAATTATGTGTAAGAATAAGTCGAAAAATATTTTAAGGGCATAAAAAAAGAAGAAGATAATACTCGATATATCGAGTAGAAGAAGAAATTGTAGAAAAAGCTACTACAAAAATAATGATATCACTGTGGACTAGATTATTTGAAGTCAAAGTCTGTAATATAATTATGTATTATATTGTATAATCGCTAACATGCCAGATAATTAAGCGGTGATTAATGAATTTGTATATAAAGAGAATGTATATTTCACATATAATATATAAAATTAGATTAACTTATATTTAATGTCTTTATGTATTTAACTTATTAAGTTTCTTTTTATTTCTGTATGGTTATTGATTAATTTTCTTTTTATACTAACAAATAGCTTTGGTGTCATCTGTAGAAATTCTGAGAATATTTAATTATACGTTTTTATTTTTTATAAGTTTCTATTTATTTTTTTTTATAAATTACTTGACTATATACATATATACAATCTTTATTAATTGTAACGTTAAATATTTATACATACAAAATATAATTATTCATATATATTTTTATTCATTTTCTTTCTAACCTATAAATGATTATCATATATAAACGCATATATGACGACGCATCGTTGCACGTGGATCGAACAAAAATCTAGGGGAAAAAAAAATGGCCGACATATTGTTATAGTTTTATAGCCGATTTATAAGAAACGGGTTTCCATTATTTATCAAATTATCATATCGATTAATGTAAAAGCACCTTTCGAATGACCTTCAATAAAAAAATCTAAACAATAGATTTATATATATATATATTTCATTCTATATGTCAGAACAGACGTGTAAAAACGGTTGGTAAGAGTAGTTGGTAATAGTAGAAAAATCGCATGTATCGACTGAAATATTCGCTGAATGATTTGATTAAACTTGACTTTTGATAGCTTATGTCGCTCATAACATTATTGTACAATAATAATCGTCTATTATTTATTTTTCTAAAGTTTTCATATTATTGTTCGATATTAGTAAAGTGTCCATGCAAAAATGGCTTCTGCCAAAGTTGATTGGGGGAAATTTGCTGAAGAACAAGATGAATTAGCTTCTAAGGTAATGTTATCATCCTCGTGTAATAAAACACCGGTATAACCATACTCTTTTTTGTTTATTCCATTTATTAAGTATAACAATGAAATATTTTTCTGCAACAATATAATTAATATGTTATAGCTTAAAATAACCTAAAACATTACTACACATATATTCTTAAAAATGTATCCTACAAAATACATTTACATGTATAATGTTAAATATGGTTGTTTTTAATTTTTATTAATAAGAATTTTCATCTTTCTATAGGTGACAGATATTAATTTAGATCAAAAGTCAAAAGAACAAAAAGAAACAACAGCAAACGATGATTCTAAGAGTGACGATGGTGCAGATGGACAGATATCACCAGCAGAGAAATCTTTGTTACAAAAAATTATACGAAAAGGATTAGTGGAAACGACTAAAGATATCGAGGTGCAAAGGAAGGATCCATCATCTCCATTATATAGCGTTAAATCTTTTGAAGCTCTTAGTCTGTAAGTTTTCTCATAATGCATCTTATATGTACTTCCATAGTCGTAGTTATAATTCTATGTTAAATGTTTATAAATTATTATTATTACTTATATAGCCTTCTATTTTTAGTAAACCTGAATTATTAAAAGGAGTTTATGCTATGGGTTTTAATGCACCATCAAAGATTCAAGAAACAGCGCTACCAACTTTGCTTGCTGATCCGTAAGTAGTAAAAGATGATAAATTAACATACACATTAGATCAAATCTAATACAAGGTAGATTAACAAACCATATGAAATAATAATTATTAACAATTTGTAGACCTCATAATATGATTGCACAATCCCAATCTGGAACTGGCAAAACTGCGGCATTTGTACTAGCTATGTTAAGTAGAGTAGATACAACTAAGGATTATCCTCAAGTGCTTGCTTTATCACCGACATATGAATTAGCAATACAAACTGGAGAAGTTGCTGCTAAAATGTCTCGTTTTTGTCCTGAAATTAAATTGAAATATGCCGTTAGAGGGGAAGAAAGTAATATTTATCATTTAAACGTAATTATCATTTAGACATACAAATTTTACTCATTAGAGTTTTGTAATTTCAGTTCCTCGTGGTACGAAAATCACAGATCACATTATTATTGGTACACCAGGAAAAGTTTTAGATTGGGCAGTGAAATTTAAAGCTTTTAATTTAAACAAAATCTCAGTTTTTGTTCTGGATGAAGCAGATGTAATGATAGCAACACAAGGCCATCAAGATCAATGTATTCGTATTCACAAGTAACATATTTGATATATTACATATCATAATGCATATTTTTAAAGTAAAAAAAAAAAGATATTTAATTGTTGTTTTATATTTATTTATAGATTACTTCCACGCACATGTCAGATGATGCTTTTCTCAGCAACATATGAAAGCGCAGTAATGTCGTTTGCTGAAATCATAGTTAGCAATCCTCTTATCATAAGATTGATGAAAGAAGAAGAAAGTTTAGATAATATTAAACAATATTACGTTAAGTGCAAAGACAAAGATGGCAAATATGCAGCTATTACAAATATTTATGGTGTTATAACTATTGGTCAAGCTATTATTTTCTGTCATGTATGATTCTCATTTTTGATATTCATGGATAATACAATTATAATAATAGTTGGTTGTAGTATACGTTAAATGATGGTTTCTTTTTTAGACCAAAAAGACAGCTAGTTGGTTAGCAGAAAAAATGACAAAAGATGGTCACGCAGTTGCTTTCTTAACGGGAGAATTAACCGTAGAACAAAGAATTTCTGTATTGGATAGATTTAGAGCTGGTTTGGAAAAAGTTCTTATTACAACGAACGTATTAGCGAGAGGTATGAAATTTTAATTAATATATGTAAAAAATAAATTGATATGTCAATTTATATTTCATGAAATTTGTTGTAGGTATTGACGTGGAACAAGTAACCATAGTAGTGAATTTTGATCTACCAATGGATCAAGATCGTCAAGCTGATTGTGAAACATACTTGCATCGAATTGGTAGAACGGGGCGTTTCGGAAAATCTGGTATTGCTATTAATTTAATAGACTCACCACACGCAATGCAGTTATGCAAGGATATAGAAAAACATTTTGGAAAGAAGATACATTATCTCGATGCAGAGGATGCAGATGAAATAGAAAAGATTGGTGCTTAAATCATTTGATATTACTGACTGCCTAGACGTACGATTCTTCATCAGATATTTCTAGGCCCATAATGAAGTATTGAAAAGAAATTTTAATAATGCCATATATTTCTTTTCCAATGGCCCATATTTCTTTTAGATAATCTTTTTTTTCACTATTCTTAATATATCTTTTATTAGCATATATTAATTAACAATATGGCAATTGGATAAGAAATATAAAGAAATAAAATTGCAACATGTAATGTAATGACAATGGTGTACTTCCTATAGAAAGGCACAAACACACACAAGATATTTTTATATGTTGTAACGAAATATTCTTATCCATAATAATAGAGATTGATATATCATTTCATTTTTGTTTTTCTCGAATTTGTATATATTTAAAATACAAAATTTTTACTTTTCCATGCCCATGTAAAAATAAAATTACACAAGATAACTAATTTGTACGTTATGATATATTGAAGATCATGTAATTACCTGCAAAAATACCTAATGAAAACAACTTACGTTTATACTTGTATACTTGGCAGCATTACAAATCATCATGGCATGTACAATGAATAAAATTTACTTACTCTCTAAGAATTACATGTAAGACAACTTTTTTATAGTATATAAACAGGATTTATTATTGAGGAAACATGTAAAATAATTTTGTATTTATTGAAACTACAAAAGTGAAAATAAACTATGATATGGAGAAAAAAAAAAGTTAAAAAATAGAAATAGCATTAACAAAATGAAAAAAAAAAAACAGAGATTATGAACTATTTAAAGGCATTAATTTTTACATAGAGACATTCTTTCATATTTATGAAAATACAAATTTTATGCACAATATGATGATTGATCTCGAGTTAATGTTTGTATTTAAATGTTATACTGTACAATTTTTTATGTAAAACAGATCTTAAAAACTTATTCTCTTTGCTTGATTTATATAACCAAAATAATCAAATAGAATATAAAAGTAGCATAGACAACAAAATACTTGAAATATTTTTTTACTCAAATCTTTTGAGCATTGACACTGTGAATACATACAATTGTAATATATTTTTATATATATATACAGAAATTGTATTATCCATGGCGTAATATGCCATTTGCAATATATTGAAATTATTTGATAAAAAGAGAACCTTCATAATTTTTCAGAAATATGTGTATGTATTTAACATAACGTTTACAAATGCGTAAAAAAACAATGGAACGTACTATTATGACTCCATAGTCATCATAGAGATTGATCTTGACCTCTTATTTATTTTAATCGTTCAAACGATAACTTGATATTTGAACTGATTCTACGGATTTCAATTGCAATTGTGTAGGATATTCAGTCTTTTAATTACATACCCATTCCACCCATACCTCCCATTCCACCCATACCACCCATGCCACCCATACCACCCATAGGCCCACCCTGAGTTTCTTCTTTAGGCAATTCAGTTACAACTGCTTCTGCAGTCGTTAATAATGATGCAACTCCTGCTGCATCTGTAAGCGCTGTGCGAACAACTTTTGTAGGATCGATGATACCCTTTTCTATCATATCAACGTATTCGTCGTTCAATGCGTCGTAACCAAGTTTTCCTTCGCTGACTTTTGCAACTACGAGACTTGCATCGACGCCTGCATTTTGTGCGATTTGCAAACATGGCATTCTCAATGCGTTTGCCACGATTTTAATACCCGTAGCTTGATCGCTATTGGTTGCTTTTAATTGTTGTAATGCTGGAGCACATCTTAACAGAGCAGTTCCACCTAAACAATAATAGATAAAATTAATATTGAAGTGATATCATTTAATTATATATTTAAATAATATGATAAACTTACCTCCAGGAACAATACCTTCCTCCACAGCAGCTCTAGTAGCATTAAGTGCGTCATGAACGCGATCCTTCTTTTCGTTGACTTCTACTTCACTACTTCCTCCAACTTTTAAAACTGCTACGCCCGATGCTAATTTCGCAAGTCGTTCTTGCAATTTTTCCTTCTCATAATCGGACGTGGTATTTTCAATTTGATCTCTAATTTGTTCTACTCTTCTGTCTATGTCACTCTTCTTTCCTTTACCTCTCAAAAAGAGTGTATCATCCTTCGTAATGACAACTTCTCCAACTTGTCCCAAATCACTTAACTGTACATCTTCCAATTTAACAAGATTTGCATCATCTCCAAAAACTATGCCACCCGTGGCAATAGCCATATCTTGAAGAGTAGCTTTTCTGTTATCACCAAAACCAGGTGCTTTTACTGCGGCTACTTGGAGGCCAATTTTCAATCTATTGACAACTAAAGTTGACAATGCTTCACCATCTATATCTTCTGCGATAAGTACAAGCGGCTTACGTTGAGAATTTGCTAATTCCAATGCTGGTATGACGCTTTGTATAGATGATATTTTCTTTTCGCTAAAGAGTAACAATGCTTCTTGAAACTCTACTTTGGCACCTTTACTAGAATTGATAAAGTAAGGGGAAATATATCCTCTATCGAATTTCATTCCTTCGATTACTTCAAGCTCGTCATGAAGGGTTTTTCCATCTTTAACAGTAATAACACCATCCTTTCCAACTTTTTTCATGGCATCGGAAATTAAATTTCCAACAGCACTATCTCCATTAGCAGAAATAGTTGCTACTTGGGCAATTTCTTCAGGCGTTGTTACGGGTTTGCTCAAATGCTTTAATTCTTCTTTAATTTTGTCTACTGCTAACATTACTCCTGAAATAATCAAGAATGTTATATAATTAGATGATATTTTGTAATCACATAAAAGAACTAATAAGATTAATATCAAGATTGCTATTGATATTCTTACCCCTTCTGATTTCAACAGGATTAGCACCTTTGCTAATCTTTTCAAAACCTTCTTTAGCTATTGCTCTTGCTAAAACAGTAGCCGTTGTTGTTCCATCTCCAGCTTCTTCGTTGGTATTATTGGCAACGTCCTGTACTAATTTAGCTCCAATATTTTGAAACTTGTCTTTTAATTCTATACCTTTAGCAACTGTAACACCGTCTTTGGTAATTTTGGGACTGCCCCAACTTTGTTCCAAGATAACATTACGTCCTTTAGGACCCATCGTTACAGCTACTGCATCTGCCAAAATATCTACACCTTGTAACATAAGTGCTCGTACTTCTGCACCAAATCTAACATCCTTGGCATAAGTTCGTGCCTGTAACTGCATCTGGCGCAGAGCTACAGAGCGCATCATGTTTGGTAATCTGTACATCTAAAAAAAAATGAAAAAAAAAAACACAATGCAATAGAGATTAAATAAAAAAAAACTGATATAAATATACATTGTGAAAGATTTAAATATCAGAGTAGAGAAAAAAGAAAATTAAAAGACAAAGTTGAGAAATGTTTTAGCTTTAAATTGACAAAATAGTAGAAATGGTAAAAAATAAGATTAATGTTAATAAATATACATACTATATGAACTATAATAAATTATAAATTCATTCTTATTGAAGCAAAATTGCGGTTATGTAAATGCCGCGTGTACCGATAAAAGATCTTTCTTAAAGATATTGAAAAATATTACTTAACTAATATAATACGTTTAACAAAAATTATTGAAAACTAAATAAAATAATTGAATCGTATTTTAGACAAAATTTGATTCATTAGAAATGAAGATAGATACGTGAAATGTTAAAAGCTATCCAACAAATTCATCCGGCCGGTATAAATCGATTAATGAAATTTTTCTATTTAATTGATCAAAAAATAAATGATTAAATTAATTTCTTTACCTTTTATTTCGCAATGGAAATGACTTTTAAATAGAAATGTCGATAAAGCTTTGTGAAAAGTAATTGAAAATCGGCACGGCGTGACCGCACTTTGTCTTACGAATGGAACGAGAAGATATGAGAGAACTTGGCGCTATCACATGGACGTCTCTTTTACCCCCACCCTTTTTTCCTACTCTATCCTTAACCTAACCTTTTACATTTCATTCAAAAAGATCTAGAAAATTCTTATACTCCGCGTTACTGAAATCCAATGTATATATAAATAGACAAATATTTTTTACATCAAGATAACATAAAATAATATCGAATTTCATTGAAATATAGCATTTATTTATCGACCGGTATTAATCTTCAAGTTTCTAGAATGTACCCAGATTTCGATGATGCAACATGTCTGCCTCGACCAATCATTTTTTTTCTACATATATCAGGAACAAACTAGGAGATGTTATTACGTACAAATGTAAAATATTATTAATCGATTGCTTGTTTTTTTTTCCTTTTTATTTTTTTTATTTTTTCATACACAATTATAATCATAATAATTTATTCTAAAATAAACTTTACGTAAACGTATAACCATTTTCATTGCAAGAGTACAAAATAAACGGCTTAAAAGTTATTTAAATATATAGATATGTTATCTATATACATAACATATGTGTTATCGATAGAAGATTTAAATTATCTTTGATATCAGTTCGAATTATCTCGCGTATTAAAATGAATATAAATTAATGTACATAAATTCTGAAATTTGATGATAAATTTTGCATTGAAATGTATGAAAAATGAAAAAAAAAAAAAAGAAGAAGTAGAAAATAAGAATAACATTATGTTTATAATCTTATATTTACATGGTAGTAAAAAGCTTATGAGACAGATAACAACCAACTAATAAATTAAAGAAATATTATCTACATTTATTTCCAAGATGGAGGATGGACATACACATACCAAGATTACGTAACGTTAAATGTTATCTCGTCAGAAGCTTCGAGTAAATCGATGAACATGATGGCGCTCGGGTTAGAATTCTGACGAAATATACGAACTTTCGAGAAAATATAGGAGAGGGTAAGCTAAGTTTCTTTGCACGCGCGAGGAGGTTACACAACGTGCAAAACCGTACAGTTGCCGGTACAGTCAGATACATCAGAACTAAAAGAAAGAACTCGTCGATTAAACATGGTAAAAATTTAACACAAATGTTTCATTTTAATTGTCAATTTAAAATGATTGATACTATTTTCACATAGACATTGTTAATTTTTTTTAAATTAACACTACGAATCATTTTTTTAACATTACCATTGATCGGGTGTGACTTATTTTATTTCAGATAACCTTTAAACTTAACTTATTAATGATTTGTTTCATTTATAAAAAAATACAATTGTTCCTTTGTTATTAATATCATATTCTCGTTCCTTTTTTTTTTTCTTTTCCCTGACAACGTTTGCGAACCGGTCAATTCGATTGCAATTGTTTATAATATAACTGAAGTTTTGTATTATATGAAATATATATATATATATATATGTATATGTACATCTTACATTAAAAAAGTGGTGAATAGATTGCAAATGAATTTGATGTGAATTATTCTTGTTGAAAAGTTATCAATTGCAAATTTGTGAATAGTAAAGAATCATTGAAATTTTCAACAATGCAACAATTAAAAGTATTGATTATTTGAAACATTAATTTAATGATAATTAGTGTAATAACTTATGATTCATTCTAAAGGATTAAATGTTTATTTACAGGCTGCCAATGCTGCTGTTAGTTCCGTTAAAAGGCTTATTCCCTTGTTCGATAGAGTTTTAATAAAAAGAGCAGAAGCTATAACAAAAACGAAAGGTGGAATTGTTCTTCCTGAAAAAGCACAGGCTAAAGTTTTACAAGGAACTGTCGTGGCTATAGGACCTGGATCTCGAAACAATGTATGAATTGTAATACTTTATACTTGTTATTATTGTTTATGTCAAAAAAGAAATTCATGAAATTGACATTTCTTTCAGAAAGGGGAACATGTTCCATTGAGTATTAAAGTCGGTGACACAGTATTGCTGCCCGAATATGGAGGTACCAAAGTTGAACTTGAAGATAACAAGGAATATCATCTATTTCGTGAATCTGACATTTTAGCAAAACTAGAAGTTTAAATGTTCATCAAGTACAGAATATAAGATAACGAATTTTTTTTGTAAGTTCTCAATAAAAAATTGTTTGACAAATTTTCAAGAGTACATGTAAAATAAATAACACAAACAACAATAACAAGAACGCGTGAGAGGAAAGATTGTGTTAACATTTATATCTTCTTTGTAAAACAATTGTTAAGATAAGTATCATTTTTTTCGTTTATATAAAAATCATTAAATAAAATTGTTTATTTGTTTCACATAATCAAATAAATGTTATTTTAATTTAATATGAGATTAAGTTTGACAATGATTATTCTAAAATTGTATTTAAATATTATATACAATAAGTAATTCCATATTAGTTCAATTATATTAATGTTTTTAATGCATGTACTTAGAATTTATTTACTATTTCAATTTTATACTCTTCTTCGCGGAAACATTAATTCCCGACATTTCTCCGCTATATCGAGTTAATTCTTTCCTGACTTCTCTCACCTAAAAAAAAAAAGAAGATATGCATGATAGTAAAATTGCGTATATTTATAATTTAATATAAATTAGTTATTTAAATACTTACTGCTCCTTTCCTACGTATTTTTGCTTTGCGATATTTATTTCTATGCTTGACTCTTGGATTTCGTTGTTCTTTCTTACGATGCGGAGTAAGACCTTTGTTCTTTGCTATTTGATATGTAATTGCTCTTTTTTCTTCTGTATCCTCCATTTCTTCCAATACCTTGTTTTCTTGGTTATCCTCTTCAACACTCAATTTATCTTCATCATCATTTTCAGATAAATTGTTTTCTTCATTTAATTCATCGTCCATGATATCATCATCAGATTCTTCGTCCATGATATTGTCAGATTCTTCCTCTTCATTTGTCTCGCTTATTTTTCGCTTTTTGGCTTTCTTGTCTTTTACTTCAGCAATAACTTTTTTTTTCTTGCAAGTTATAGATTCACCTGATATATTATAAAGAGATCCACCATCTTTTTCAATTTTTAATACCTCTTCAATTTTTTCTAACAAATCTCCTTCTCCTGAACGCATTTCATTAAGAAGTTGGCGATATTGTGCCAAACGTTTAATAACAGGGTGCGAATTGATAGGTAATCTTTTGGCTTTTAGCATTAAATAAAAAGAGATATTAACGCAATAATTTAATATTATTTGATATTTACTTTTAACAAAGTTCGATGCAGGACAATCAGGACATATGCCTTTTTCAACAAGCTTCAAAAATGGTAAAAGTATATTTTTAGCTTCGTTCATGCATTCTGTAGAAAAAGAATTATAATTTACAATAAATGTAGAAGAAAATACAGGATAAGAAGAAATTGTTACAAATAATAATAATAATAATAATATATAAAACTTACCTTTAAAATCATCAACGATAGCCAAAAATTCTGGACTTTCTCGTTGAACTAATTCACGTTTTTGTTTTTTACTAAGTTTGGTAAAATCTGTTTTGACCGTTTCCTCTTCATCTTGTTGAGCTTTTGTGTCCTCACTTTTTGCTTCTATAAAATCTAAACCAAAATCAGCATCATCCAATCGTTCAGCTAATTTCTTTTGAATGCTTATTGCTTCTTGTTCTTCCATTTCTGCTATTACTTGATTTTTATGACTAAGAGTGGAATAATCAGGATCTACGTAATCCGTAGAATAATATGTTTTTTTCTTTTTGCCCCATGCTTTCTCATTTGGTATATCAAAATCATCTTCCAATTCTTCAATATCAGATTCCATTGAATCTGCTTCTTCATTTTCCATTTCATCCTCTTCTTCGTTTTCTTCATCATCTTGTAATCCAAAGACTTCGTCATCGCTATCAAAATTTTCTGGTGCTCGTTTTATTCTTACACTTTTAAGTAATTCACGATCCTCTTCTGAATATTGGTCATCAGAATCCGAAATGTCATTCATATCTTCATCTCCAACAGCTTCAACTTTGAATGCATTTCGTCCTCTATGATAAAGAAAGTTTATCATGAAATACAATTATGTATAAAATTAAAATGACTTAAGTTTACTCTTTTTTTTTTTTTGCAATAATCTTATATCCAAATAGAGAATATTATTATATTATTACATTATTATGTCTTAATAATTATAACTTTTATTTGTATGAAAAATGTTTGTAAAAAATAAGATGCATCTTTAACATTCTTAATATATTTATAATATAATTTATTGAAGATTTGTACAATTAGTTGACTTACCTCTTTTTTCCAGCCATTTTATATGAAGATATTTATATATATGTACATTTATTTATAAAAGACAAAATATAAATATAAATATTAATATATCCAGCGAACGTATACACTATGCACCACATGAATGCACTTCACGTGACTCTTTTAAGGTTATATCGAATTGTAGTATCGATATTCCCTGTTAGGTGGCAGCCAGTGTTGGGGTCTCTAGTTGATTTCAAAGCAAACTATAACCTTTAAAATTACACATAATAAAATTATTAATTTCTGTAAAAAAAATCATGGTATTTCTAACGTCAAATTTATCGGTTCGATCTAGAGGACCAGATGAATTCTGGCGAAAACGTAAAATATTTGAAATTGCTGCTGTAAGTAATAATTATATTTGTTATTCCTTTGATTACTTTACACAGTTAGATTTTTAATCATTTTATTTTACAGCATTTTATAGGTAGAAAAAGAAATTGTTATTCATTGGCTATTAGAGCTGTTCATAGATCCTTAATGTTTGCTACCAAAGGACGAAAATTAAAAAAAGACGATATGCGAGAGGTAATGTTTACAATGTGTGCAATATTAGTAGTCGTTTCGTTGCTCCAATTATGTAAATTGTTGCATTTAAAATTACAGCTTTGGGTAACAAGATGTAATGCAGCTTTGGTCCAACATGATATGGATCCAAAAACATTTACCGAAGGCTTAAGTAGATGTAATATTTTATTAAATTATAAAAATTTAGCTGATTTAGCTTGTTGGGAACCAAGAACATTTAAATCTCTAGTAGCTATTGCAGCTGCTAGAGCACAACAAGATGGATTTTATAAAAATAAAAGTACAATATTAGAGTCGACTACTACTATATCAGATGGTTTAATAGAATAAAATAGATGAAAGGTATAATATTTATATAATACTTAGTTATTTTTATTGTACCTGCATTAAACAATTATTCTAGTAACAATGTAATATATATCTATATATATATATATATATATATTTGATCTTATTTTTATGGCTGTTTGAAAAAATATTTATTATTATGATTTGAGCTTTGTAGATGATGTTTAATAATAACAATTTGGAAATTAGAATTTTAACAAAGTTCCAATGATATATATTTCTTTGGAACATATAATTGGGAAAAGGAGAAACATCAAAGCGTTTTTTAAGTTCTTCACTGCTTGGCGTTTACAATTTGTACAAAATCTGGTTTCAAAGAAGCACCTCCTACTAAAAATCCATCAATGTCTTTTTCTTTTGCCAATTCTTTAGCATTTCCCGCTGTTACTGATCCACCATAAATAATTCGAACTGTTTCAGCAACGTTTGCATTCACATTTTTAGTAAACCAGTCTCTCAATTTTTCATGAACTTCTTGTGCTTGCTGAGGCGTTGCAGTTTTACCTGTTCCAATTGCCCATACTGGTTCATACGCAAGTACAACATTATCCCACGATTTTATTTTATCTGCAATAGCTTTCGTCTGACGAAAAACTACCTCTTCCGTTTTTCCAGCCTCACGTTCTTCTAATTTTTCTCCAATACAAGCAATTACCTATGAAATAATAACAGAATCGTTAGAATTTTATCAGAGTCACATGGATATTTTGATTATAAAAAAGTCATTGATAAAAACATTACTCACTTTCAATCCAGCTTCCAATGAATGGGCAACTTTATCTGCAACCAATTCATCCGTTTCTCCAAAAACGTTTCTACGTTCAGAATGTCCAAGAATTACCCATGGGATGGAATTGTCAAGAAGCATAGCTGGACTGATTTCTCCCGTAAAAGCTCCCTTAGGTACTTTATATGCATTTTGAGCACTAATATCAACATTGTTAGGCAAAATACCTTTTACATATGTCAGATAAATAGCTGGTACACCAACAACAACGTCTGTAATCATTTATATAAATAACTCTACAGTACTATATTACATAATTAACTATATAGAATAAATAATAAAACTGTTATAAAAGTAATCTTTACTACCCAATTATAATTAAAAATTATCTTTAATAAATAAACGGACAATGCAATTTAACAAATATAAAATATTAGAAGAATATTAACACATAGAGATAAATGATAAGTACTATCATATATAGGGTGAATCATATAAGGTAATGAATTGGAAATTGATATTAATGGTTTTTTTTATTACTAAATTTTGAAATCTTTCTTCTTTTCCTTCATATAATATGTCAAGTAAGAAATTATAAATGAAACATAGAAAAATTTGTACAGATTTTTGTAATTATAAAGTTTGTATAACTGTTTATCAGTTATTTCACACAACATTATTTGAAACTAAATAAATTCAATGTAATTTGAAAATGATATTGTCAAAAATAAATCGTTAGATAATGTTTGTTATTTATTCATAATTATGGGCACATATACGATACATATATTTTCAAAAATACATACCAACGTTGGGATCCAATGGACCGGCTTTAAGAAATGCAACAATTTCGTCAATTTCTTTTTTGGTTCCATTCATTTTCCAATTACCACCGACAAAGAATTTTCGTCCCATTTTTGGTTTGATGGTATCACAGCTAATAAAAATATTCGATACTGGTTGATTCTAAAAGACAATTTTTTAATTGTTCGTTCTAATGACCTTTAAGTAAGTAAGAAGGTCAGTCTTGTCACGTTAAGTCTGTTCTGMTATCGAATGAAAATATTCAATAAAATCCGTCTCGATACTGGTTGATTCTAAAAGACAATTTTTTCAAACTGTTCGTCCTTATGACCTTCAAGAAAGTAAGAAGGTGAGTCTTGTCACGTTAGGTCTGATCTGCTATCGAATTTCAGTGTACACAGTAGGATTGTTGTGCGCATACGTGAAAACTCAAGGTCATATGACGTTACCATTCAACGAATTCATTGAACCATTAGGTATTTCTGATTCGTTACAGATAAACCCCCACCATGATGACATCAAACGCAACAGATGCATTTGATTTGTGCATTCAAACCGCGCGGATGAATTTGACATAGGCTTTTAACTATTCAATGTTTATATATGACAAGACTACTGTTCTATTTAAATATTAATTAATAATAATCTTTATAAGACGCAAGAACAAAGATTGATCTTTAAAAAAGGTAAATATATATTATATATCGTTGTAAGAGGTATATTCACCATTTGCAATGAAAATATTTATCAAGTTTTTAATTTCTAACCTCTAAATATTAAAACATTTGTATAAATTACAGTTTTCTTTTTCAATTATAATATTTTTATAAATGATCACGTTAATTTATAACATTTACGATCATTTTACGTACGTGAACATTTTGAAAAATTTCCTCTTAGAAAATATAAATATAGAATGTCTCATATTTGTATTTATTAATAATATGTAAATAATATTTAAGATACATACATATATACATATATATTTATAAACTTTGTATATGCGATATTTTTATGTAATTAAAAAAAAAAAAAAAGAATAAATGACAAATGCTATCACATTTATGTTGCATCATATCCTAAAGCTCTTTTGCTTTGTATAAATGAGTTGATACATTTAAATACAGTAAACTGTAAATCATTTTGGAATAAGTATGCTTTACACGCCGGGATTTAATTTGGATAAATTAATACATTCGCTTATGCAAAGCTTGGGCTGTGGGAGGTCAGATAAAAAAAATTTGTTAACCTACATGGACACGACATATAAAATACCAAATAAAAAATTAGATATTTGTGAGAAAATGAAAGATGTGTATCAAAGTAATCTTGATTTTTCAAATCCTTATGATATACAACATTTTATAGAAAATCATACAAACATCCTTGATAAATCTGTTTATTCAAAAAATATTCCGGTTCTTGAATCTCATTTGAAAAATATTAATACTAAAATTATACAAACAATTAATAAGATCAAAGTACAGAGAAATGTTATTGAAGTTAAAAATAAATTATTAAATTCGTATAAAAAAAATTCTCGCGTTAAAAAGTATCAAGGAAATTTGGATAGTAAATATAATAAGCATACATTAAAAAATACAACTGTAAAAAAAAATAATTCTCTTATGAATTGTTTGCAACAAAATAAAAAGAAACATAATAATAATAATAATAATAATAATAATAATAATAATAATAATAATAATGTCGCATGCAATTTAACGAATAATATAATGGTATATATGGAATATGAAAGTGAATTAAATACTAAATTATTACAACTTTATACGAAAGATGAAGAATTTATCAAGAAATATATACATATATCATTATATATAGCAACAGAGGTAACTAGTAGTATGATTTTATAGAAATACATGGTATATATATATATATATATATATGTTTATTTGATAACATAAAACATTTGTATTAAAATAATTGAGTTTGTTAATTATAATTAATCATACACGCGTAGAAGATCGATTGTTCCAATTTTGAAAAGATTGATAGAAAATATCAACAACAAATTTTGCTATGTAAGCAGGCAATATTGTGTTTGATTGAACCAAGTGAAAAAGCTTATGTACTTTGTACAAATAATTTGTCTGGTATTATACAAAAACATTTAACACAAGGATGTACATATCATTTTGAATCATCGAGGTATTTTTATATATCTAAAGTATGTAAGTCTACTAAGGATTTATTATATCTATAAATTTTAATTATATAAATTGTCCTTAGTAATTCTACAGAGTATTATAAAGCTTTATTGATTATAAGTCATTGGGCAAAAGTTTTGGTAAAGCATCAAAATATAACTATGGTTCATATGATCTGTGCTATACTTGGTTGCGAAATAAATCAAATATTAATTTTAACCTACCCGAAAGATGCTTTATCCAAAAGGTATATTAAATCTTAATAGAATATACATATTTTATCATCAAATGTAACAATTCTAAGATGGACATCATAGAAATTCATACTTCAGAAATAATGATAAAAGTTACTTTAATTTTTCTAACATCTGAATTTTTAGATGGTGAATGAAGAAGTAGTGGAAGGTAATAAGAAGACTCAACCTATATTCAAAAGTCCAACTTTTCACGATAAGTTTCGGCCAATAAGTAATACTGGAAAGAAAAGAACTTGGAGATCTCTTAAACAGGTTCTAGCACAGGAACGTAGTTTACCATGGCCTGCTGAAGTAGTACATTGTATGAGAGTTTTGATTTTAATTTATATTTCAAATTAAAATGAAAGTATATACAATAATGAAAAATATAGATCAGTCAATGTCAAGATTAAACGATTTTATTAATATTTTCTTAACGAGCGCAAATCATTACTTTTATAAAAACAATGCAAAATTATGTTGGAACATACAAATCATATTATTATAAATGGAATAAATATTTATCACTGGCTAGATTATCAAATTTTATTAATTTGACATTAATTGTAAATTCCAGATAGTGCTATCAATGCACCACCAAGTTTTAAACCCGCAAAGAAGTATTCTGATATATCTGGCCTACCTGTAAGTAATATACGAATAATAGTAATGTACTTTTTCTTTTGATAATGAAATATTTCATCTGTTAATGCATCAATTAACACGTTGATTGCTACATTGGTTCCATGGGGGGACCGAAGAGTATAAGATTAATGAATAAATGTATTATTTTGAATGAAGTTTATTATAACATTCTAAGTAAAGATATGGTATTTTATTGATGTTTTACTTTGTAAAACACAACTTTGAATATTACACAGAAACAATGAACTAGAATTTCGTCTGGCCGAATGGTCTTCAGTCTTTCAAGTTTTCTTTATTCTAACATTTCTCTATCTTATTTTTTATACATGATACAGCTGCTTTATAGGCGTAGCTTAAACGGACAATGATATTGCCTTGATCGAATAATAATTATGATAAAAATGACTCTGCATTCAACGTGTTAAAAATAAAAATCGAATATTTGAAAGAAATCAGTTTTATATTATGTGTTAAGTTATATTATTAAGATGAGAACACAGATGTTAATCACATTTATTTGCACAGGCACGATATACAGATCCACAAACTAAATTATATTATGCAACTGCTGAAGAATTTGCAACAGTTCGTAGCCTGCCAATGGATATAACTGCCGGATATTTAGCGTTACGTGGTGCTTCTAGTATCGTTGGTTAAGTATTATTTTCATGAAATTGCAAGAAATATATATTGTACATTTCTTAATCGTATTTTTCAATCTCCCTTTTTAATCAGACAGAAAATATTTTTTTTTTTACATAATTTCAACATCATATCTAAATACTACATAGAGATTTATACATATAATAAAAATTCAGTGTAATGAATTTAAGAAGAAAAGAACAAAAAAAAAAAGAAACAAAGGAAAAAACCCGCTTTTTCTATTTGATTATTTATCATTTATTTATTAACTTTTTAATAATTATTTAGCGTTGAGATTTATTATTAATGTGGGCTGTACGGAAATAAACAATTCTCCAGACAATTTAAGTAGTTATCATTATTTTTTTTTTTAACCTTTCTTGATATTTTACACAATTCATTAAAAAAGCTTGTCCATTAACTTATTGTATGAACTACAGACTAAAAAGGGATTAATAATCCTTTGAAACTGTGTTTTTTACTGTTCATATGAGACAACTTCTGCAATTACCATTGAAATTTGTTTAGCACACCGCACAACTTGGTTGTTTGCTACTACATTCGGCCATCAACAAATTTGTAAAAATTATTTGTAATCGAAAATACAAACAGCACATGGCCTATTTGAAGTATCATCTTTCGACGGTGCACTATCCATAGGTCATTTCTTTTGAGAGGATTAATTTGCTGTATTATTAAAAAGTTCTTCATTCCAAATCAGGTATCTCCTCATCATCACTATCGACTTCATCCATCTCGTCTCCCAGATCATCGAAATTAGGCTTGCTATCGCCCGATCCACCTAAGCCACCCATGTGTCGCATCATCTATGAATAACACAAACAAAATCATATCAATCCTATTATACAACACTACTACTGACATCAATGAAAATAGATGGAAATAGATCAAATCATTTTATGTCTAATTATATTTTAATCAAAAGAAAAGAAATCTACTTCTTCCAAGTCATGGTTTCCACCCTCGAAGTCTCCCTCCTCGTCGCTATCATCTTCATCCTTCCATTTGTTGAAATCACTTTTCAACCAATGCGCCTTTGTCTTTTCCTTAGTTAATCTTGGCCAGTAAGGACCCTCTTCTTTTTTGGAAAGTACTAATTCTATAGTTCTACCTCCTAAATTCTTTAGCGTTTTGTCAGGATTGATCTCTTTGTATAAATTAATTGTCACTTCATGCACCTTCTTGTCGGTGCCACCCATACCTTTGAAATGTAACATTTCTGGCTCGATCTTTAAAACGGGATCTTTGCAATCCTCTAAGCATATAGTTATGAAGAGGTTATCCCTCCTTTGAGCCCATAAAACAGGTGGAGGAGGTAATCTGAGAAAACAAGTTACAAATTCATCAATCATTCAATAAGTTATGTAAAATAATATTAATTATTAAATTTTACTCTATTTCTCAAAATATAATATAATAAGTAAACTATAAGATATATATATATATATATATATATATATATATATATATATATATTAATAGAAAATAAATCCTACTTAAAAAAAATAAACTTATTCATTTGGATATTCAATCATGAAAATCGAATCGACTTGTAAAAAAGAAAAGTTATGTACTTTGACTCCTAAATCGTAATTTAATTTTTTGCCAATATCATTTTTATAGGTTAGAATAATAAAATTCTTATCGAGAAAAATCGCTGGTCATTACGGTGTATAGTAAATAATTGTATAAGAAATGATGGGACAAAAATAGTAGTCACGAGGATAGAAGATATACATAGATGTATATATAATCGTTCCTTTTTTATTTTATCAAGTAACGTGTATTATATCATTTAGAAAAGAGCATAAATAATATGAAGAAAAGGTTTTTAATATCAGGGGGGGGGTAGGTGAAGAAAAGATATTACGCTTGGTCACCGGGCAATGAATCGCGTGTTCAACGCGTCTTTAACAAAATTGATATACATCGAAAATGTATATCATTCTAATGACATATAATATTCTGATTATTATTAAAACTAAATAAATAATAATTTAAAAGATAAAATAAACGTTGAAATGTAACGAATTATGTATGTTTTCTAGAATCTTCGAGAATCAATAAAACCATCTCGTATAATACAATATGGCGGCCTTTCGAAAAACCACGGGGCGGCAACTATATCATATCTTTCATGAAATTTTTTACAATATCAATGTTTTTAAGTGAATTTAGTTGATCGCAAAGAATGTTTCTAAATTTAGTATTGATAAATGGAAGGGATTTAGCTATACTTACTGTCCTTCTTGAGTCATTTTTTCTTACAGCTTTAGGACTATGCGAAGGAAACAAACAGTGCGAACTAACGTTCGCATCCACAGATCTGATTCGAGTATATTTCGAGATATAATCTATCGATTCAACCGGACATTCTGATTGGTATTCATCAATGTATCTCGAGTTTCGAGATATCGAAGTTAAGAAAACTTCTTCCGGTATTCAAACTTCAAACCTTATTTTCAACATTGAGTATTGGTCCCGTTTTCAAACAAAGAAATATTTATCTTATCACTAACTAATGTTATTTCTTTTTCTAATAATAGTTCTAAGAATAAAACGCAATAAATTAAATAAATATTCATTTGAAATTAAATCAAAATGGCGAGTGAATGATGAATATCAAGTTCGAGTTTTGTTTTGATAACACACGAAAGAAGTTTAAGCGGGAAAAATTCAAAAATCTATTGATGATTATCAAATTAATCGAATTTAAGAATTGAATCAAAAGAATAATATACATATAATAATAATAATATATAATAATAAATATATATATATATATATATATATATATATATATACTATAAATATATATAATAATAATAAATATATATAATATTAATCTAATATATATATTAGATGATAAAGATATACAAAAATTCAAAACAATTTATAATATGCAATATTTAATATCGGATAATTCAAAAATTAGCAATACTTTTATATATTTATATATAAATAATATAACAAAATAATTGTAATATGAAATATAGAAGACAAAAAAGGACCCTCAACAGGATAAATTAATTCTCTTTCGAGTTCTGAAAGAAAATGATAATTGAAAGATGATATGATTTAAAGTATAGAAATGTAAAGGTGTATCTTATGAACAAATATATAAATAAAAAGATAAATAAAGAGAGAGAGAGAGAGAGAGAGAGAGAGAGAGAGAGAGAGTGGTGTAAAAAGGAGTGGGAGGGAAAAAGAGAGGATGTGTTAAGAGAGGATCATGTTTATAGAGTGTAAGAGAAAGGAGAGGGGGGCAGGTGGGTTTAGATTGTAGGTCATTGGGCGGTAATGGAGGGGTTTTACTTCTGGCTCGTTGTAGTCCGCTAACAAACTGGACAACGCGGAGACGCTCCGCCAGTTTATTTCCTTCGTAGCTTCGTTTCAGGTGATAAAACGTGTTTCTGTTGGTGTTTTGCGCCTGCGCTTATCTCTGCGCTTACCTGCGGCCTAACTGCACCCTATTATCACACAAATAAATAAATAAATAAATAAATAAATAAAAATAATTTTACAAAAAAGGGGGATGTAATCGGAGTGTGTTATTTTATTTTATTTTCTTTTTTTTTTTTTTCGTTCGTCGTTCGTTCGTTCGTTAGCTATTTTGTAATTTTTTTTCCTCAATTGTTTTATTTAATTTATTATTATTATTATTATTATTATTATTATTATTATTATTATTATTATTATTATTTAATTTGTTTTATTTATCGATAATAAAAATCAAAAAGTAAGTTGATCGTTTGTGCACATGCAATTAAACGGGGATTTTAACGAAGTAATTCGATAAGCGCGATTTTATTTATCAAGTAAAAAGAAGATTAATCAGTGAAAAGGATAATGTTATGTTTTAATTGAAATAATCGATATAAATATATATATTTATATATATATATTTCATAATCGAGTTTTTCGACATGTCAACGAGCTCGCTTTTTTACAAGGACAAATATCCGGTGAGTGAAATTTCTCTTTTGTATTTTTATTATACACTATCTTTCTTTTTCTCTTTTTTTTTTTCTTTTTTTTTTCCTTCTTAATTTAATCGGTATGCGTAATGGACGTTCGATTCTGAGTAACTACATAACGTTACCTACACTATATTTGGATATAAATAAGAATATAATATACTTTTACCTAATTAAAGTATTGTTTAAGGCATATAATAAAATATTCTTCCACATTGGGGTACGGGAAACGCGAGAATCGTATGATTAGAAAGTTAGCTTTTTTTTTTCTTTATTTTTTTTTTTTTTATTTCATCAACGTATTAGTAGTAGTAGGTATAGGTTGATTTACGTAGTAATGAGAAAGCACACGGGAGCACGAGGAAAGATTTGAAAGTTTTGCTTGTGTGTGTGTGTGTTTCTCTACGTATAACTCTCAAACATGTTAGATACTCCTATTCGATTTCGAATGAAATTCATTTGTCAATTTGAACAAATTTTCTAAATTTAGATTTAGGTAAAAAAGAAAAGAAAAAAAAAAAAAAGAATAGAAAATATAGAAATAAATTAGAAATCACGCGATGGTTTGTTTGGTTCGAAGAGAAACCGAGAGATTGACTTACGTCTCTCTCTCTCTTTCTCACTCTTTTCAACAAACCAAGTATTGAATATCGGTGGTAAACGTGTCTTGTTATAAGATCCAGGTTAACTTCTATCTATAAAAGTGACTTAGATTCTTATATATACATATACAGATGTTACAAAGATGCATAGGAATAGATATGTAATCAAATTTATTGATTATTACGTAAACTTATTTTGTACGATGATATTGTTCGAATGACAAATATAAACAAAAAACAAAAAAACAAAGGAAATATATTATTGAGAGAGAGAGAGAGAGAGAGAGAGAGAGAGAGAGAGAGATTATGTTCTTCAGATACAAAGTTAAATGGGTAAAAATAAAACGATCATCACATATCTGAAGCATGTAAGATAGTCATGATCAAGAATGACGCATTTTCGTTGAAATATCGATTCCCGAGTTGCATTATATCGATAAATTGTATTTTCTTGATTACTTTT